TTAGGTAATTAGTGTTGGCCATTAAAAGCATCATTCACTTTCCCTAACGAGATGCGGTAAATTTTGTCACTTCTGAGCCAAAGACTGAAAACAGAGACGCCGCTACAGTAAGACGGGGGCTGTGACAGATTGGAACGCCGGTGTCATGGATCAACTAGTTTCTCTGTTAACTTCAGAGTTTCACCTGAATGATTCATCAGATCACTGTGGAAACAGCAGGTGTTGAAAATGGAAGACGACATTAAGCTGTGCTTGCAAGTGGGTCTCTGTTGCCGTTTTCATTAAATTTTCAAAATGCACCCATCTGCTTCATTTGGAGGCTTCAGCAGCATGGAAACAATGAGTATTCAACTATCTTAGAAATTGTACTTGATCTGTATTTGTATCCATCGAGCCTTCTTCACTTAAGTTGGCTTTTCATGACATAGGAGACGCCAAAGTGTAAATGATAACTCAAAGTCTGCATTCCATTTATTTGATCAAGCTCCAGCACTCTGGTAATTGTGCATGTCGGCTCTTTGGCATGGATTAATGAATGAATTGAAACATGGACACCCACAGGGCTGGGTGATACGACCTCAATATCAAATCAATATCACGATTAATTGAACATTTTACCTCGATTACGATTAATGAATGATTATTTGGTTTCTGTTTTTTTTGCCCTCATAGTTCACTGACATGGTCTCTACTATTAAAGCTGGGCTATCTCTTCTAATGAAAGAGTGCATATCGGATGAACTATTTTGTGGTTCTTTATTGAATATTTCGAACTGAAATCAAAGCATCGGTGTCGTCTTCTCTGACTCTGCCCTGAAAATAATTGAAATAATCGACATGGGCAAGATTAGAGGTTCTGAATGTCGGTTTCGATTCATTTTCGATTGCCCAGCCCTAATGGACACAGAATATACATTTGACATGGTTAGTTGAAGAATTTCTGGTCCAAACTGTGAGCTTTAGGTCTTGACATGTGTATCATTTGTTTTCATACGTATTCTTAAAAAAACCTAAGCCATGTGATGGAAGTAGCTCTCACCCACTTGCTCTCAGCTCCCAGGTGAAAAAAATACACAACGATTGAGGCATCATACATCTGCTCAAATATATTTCCATTTAAGGGTATGTTAACTGGTTTGGTATAGAACCTTGACTTACAAATGAATGAAAAGTCCTAAAGCAGCTACGCACCATGAAGCAAGTTTTAAAAGTTCTTGCAGGTAAAAAGACACAAAGGTGTTGAAGGGGATTTGGATCTGCAGCATGTGCAGAGATGATGGACAAATTTCGATGAGCTAAATAAAGTCCTGCCTAAGTGGCTGTATGATCACGGATTTCATCAGAAAAACCTGGCAAATGTTCTTCTTCTTTGGATAATTGACATAATTTGAAGCACACAAACGTAGCTACAAAAAGCGTTTCTCTACAGTGTACAGAGATAACTTTGACTGGATGATTTAAATAATGAAGATATCATGTGTAATATCCAAGCAGAACCACTCGGGTTTATTCATTGACTGACATTTGCCAGAATTAGAGATAATTATATCCTTGCAACATGGGTTTTGCACTGGGGGGGGGGGGGGGGGTGGGGGACTGAATTCTAAAGGCTGCATTGGAGGAAGGGACCTTTGATGAGCCTCATGAAAATACACTTTTTGGTTGTTAGTTATATCAGTCATGGTAAAGGTAACATTGGATGAATAAATAAAACCTTTACACTCTTGCTCAGAAATCGTTTTTATCAGTGTTATGCTTAAAACAATTAAAATGCAAAAAAGAAAGCTGCATATACATACATATACATCCAGTTTTCATTTGTCCTTTCAAAAAAATGTAAAGGTTTTGAATTTAAAACTGAATAACTTGGCTGAAGGCTTAATTACTTGATGTACAAAATGTTAGGTGCATGTTAAAATGAATATGACTGCAGATGTTGATAAGGAAATGTCACACTTTCTCGCTTGCTATTACCCTCAATTTCTAGGGTGCAATTGCAAAGTTAAAGTTATTAAAAACTTATAATTGGTCATTTGCTTATGGAAGGTGTGGTGATAGCAATGAAGCAGGGTTGGTTTTAGGCTGTGGTGATGGGGCTCAATGTTATATCTTTTCATGGGGACCAGATTTCCTGCCATGCAAAGAGCAAGTCACATTATATCCAATGAAAAAAAAAGTATCATGTCAACATGCTGATTTGACAATGGTATGATGTAGGCCGGAGTCATTTAAGCACCTCAAAGACAGGGTTGCTAATTTTTGAAGACGAGCATGATTTTGAAAATAGCATTCCCTCAGCGCTCCCTCTGTGCTCCCTCAAAAGCCCCGTCCCTCACTTACATGCACAAGTGCCACTGGTCCAGGAGCGGACCTCAGCTCATGCTTTGAGCGTGGGCTCGTGCATGTAAGGGGTCGAGAACGAGCAGGGAGACAGGGAGGCGTGATTGGTTCATCAGATTGGTACCTCGTGTTAGACACTGGTTGAAGTTTTTACAGGCTTACAACTGCTACAGATGACAGATTTTCTTCATTCCATTTTCAGAGCATATGAATTATTAATGTCTGTCAGGACCTAAAGACAACTTCAAACAAAATCTGTGTATCTGGAGAAAATTACCAACCCCGCCTTTAATTGCCTCTATGAGTGTGTGTGTGTCAAAGCCACTGCTGCTGGAAGTGCTCACTAGGCAATATCAGAGAGTAAAACTAAATCGAGTAGTAGTATTTTTTTTGCTGATTTCCACATACTATCTAAGACTCATGTCTCCTGCATGCCCCTCAGGAGACGTTAAACGGCATAGTTGGTCTAAGACTTCACTGGCTGCTTCGTTGATGGAATTCTCACCTCCGCTTTTTGATTTACAGACTCTGAGCCAATTTTGAGCCATCTTTCATGCTCTGTCATGACCTCTGCGAGTGTGGACCATCAATAAACAAACACAAGAGAGCTACAGTGAGTGCACTCCAATTTGTAAGCAGCACCGTGAGTGAGTCTGTCTCAGTCTGTTTGTTGTTGACACTATTAGCTGCCTGGCATCGTTACATACTATACTACTCTATATAATACACACACACACAAGCCCACAAACAAGTAAGCAACGTTTGGTTAACATTTTCCATCAAATTTATAAATATGAAGTCCATTTTATCACTTCTGTCCTCGATCAAGTCTTTGAATTTTACTGATCATAAATCTGAATTCTATGACAGCTCCACTGTTGAACTTGTATCACAGGTGACACTGAGACTGAGTAAGGGGCAATCTGCAATATATGCGGCAATAATGAATAATTCTTGCAACAAACTGCCTCATTCATATGCTAGCTGGCAAGGACAATAATTTATCAGAGGATGACTGCAGTCAAATCCCCCCCTCAATGCTTTAACACTGCACAGTTTTTCCTCACTAGGGCATTTCACCGTTAATCTCATTTACCAGAGAGGCCTCACACTGGGAATTGATGATGTAAACACAGAATCGGAATTGCAAAACTGATTTAGAGCTTCTATCAATACCCATGGCGGTACAGTGAAAACAGGAAGGGATTTTACATCTGGAATTCTCTTTACTACTGCATACGAACAGGACTTAATAAGTTTACCATCAACCATGTCTCTAACCTTTCCCAACTGTCGAGAAAAATGGAGAAGATCAGGGCTCACAGCTCATCAACATCGACTCTTACATTCATATATAGTACATAGAAGTGCTGAGTTACAGTGAGCAAAACAATTCAAAAAAGTAAAATCTGCCCAGAAAATCTTTTTCAAAATTCTGTGTCTGCAATTTCTGCTGTCTAAGGAGAAATTGAAAAAATAAAACGATCTTACAAATAATTCAACAGACATATATTTTTAATTAGTTCCTTGTTGGAAGGCTGTAACTGTGTCCCTGTGGTTCCTCCACAACTGAGTCTGTGTAATGAGTCCTGCTGCCTTTAAGTGCTTGTAACAATGAAAGGGCCAGTAATTAGTCTGGGTTTCACTGCAAAGTTTAAGAGCCCCATGTAGGCCACTAAAGCTCTCTGACCAGTTTATGGATTTTTTTTGGTGTGTGCTTCTAAGGGTGTAAGAGCCCCATTTCAACTTTTTGTAATGTAGCAAGATTCTGTATATTTCAATGGGAAGGCCATTAGATTAATAACCTTTGAGTTAGAACTATTAGCTTACAGTGTCTTTAATCTTTAAATTTCAGAACTGGCATTAACACAAATGGGATTATGGTGATGATAATGAACCCCTCCACTACGAGAACATTAAGAATACCAATGGAATCTGTCAATCAGTCAATCAGTCTTTCAGTCCCAAGCATCATTAAAATAAAATTGGATTTCAATTACGATGGCTGAGTAAAGGTCTGCTGTGTCACTGTCATGATTATTCCTCATTTTAAGAAAACACAACAAGACAAGGAATGAAGAAAGAAGAATTCAATTATAAAGAGAGGAAACAAGAATAAAAGGTAAGCAAATATAAAACCCAACACCGCTGGGAGAATAAAAAGAAAAACAAATTAGAGCGGAAAAGGGAAGCAGAGACACTAACACTTCTGACCCTTGTATAGAGGCTGAGAGAGAAAAACGAAGAAAAACATGATGTTGTGTCCAATGTGAGCGCAGCCTCGCGCAACAAAGCCTGAATAACAAGAGAAGGGAGTGCGAGAGCTGCACAGCCTTGCACAATAAGACCACGATAGATTGAAAATGAGACAAAATGTGATACTGTCAGCAACCTCGGACAAAACGAGGACATTTATTTTCGTGGAAAGTTGTTCTAAAATATTGGCATTACGATTTAAGAAAGGAAAGTGTGCGTGCGTCGGAGAAAAAGAGAAGAAACAGATAAAGCAAACAAGAAACTACAACCAGGAAAGACATAAACAAACAAAGACAATCTCGAACAGAATCTGAGCCATAGAGAGAGCAGAGAGATATACAAGACATGTAGAAACCCGTATGAGTGTGATGTTTGACAGACAATGACATTGACAGGACACTGACCTGTGAGCACGGCCTTAGCCGAGGGTTCAGCGAGGTCCAGGGCGGACTTGCCGTCGGTATTGCGGATGCTGGGGTCGGCTCCATGCTGCAGCAACACTGTACAACAACAGGGCAGACACAGACAGTAGCTGAGCTCCTGGACTGACATGCAAACTCCCCGGCACACACCTCCTCCTCGTCCTCCTCTTCCGCGGGCTCCTCTTGCTGCTGCTGCTCCTCCTACTGAACCACATCCTGCTCCATAAACTGCTCTTCCTGGACCTTTTTCTCCCACTTGCTCCACTTCTATGCCCCCTGTTCCTCCTCCCGGGGTTGTATCCCCTGGTTCCCCTGGTAGCCCTTCAGCATGTCCTGCTTCACATTTCTCTCCATCCTCTCCTCCTCCTCCTCCTCCAGCTGCTCCTTCTCTGTTGCTAGCGCTGCTCCCTCGGCTGCCCCTGGCTGCCCCTGCCCTGCGAGCCATGCTGCTGATGTAAACAGACATGCCACAACAAGAGCAGCGGAGACTACGCTACAGCACCCGGCCGGAGAAACAGCTGACCTTTACAAAACAGCTTTGTGACAGACTACAAAACACATCACACTTCCATGAAGGAGGAGGGGGAGGCTCAGCTGAGAGAATGAATAAAAATGAGTGAGGGAGGAGGGAGAAGAGCGCGGCTACAGCTTATCGAGGTAGCACCAGCAGCGACGAGGCAGGCAGGCTGTGTGAGTGGAGAGACTCTTGCCTCTCCAACTGACTGAGCGATGCAGCGGGGAGCAAGATGAGAGAGAAGAGGGGAGGAGAGGAGAGGAGAGGAGAGGAGAGGAGTGGGGGGGGGAGGATGGGATGGGTGAGAGTCAGATGGGAAGGGAGAGATGGCGAACGAAAAGAGGCGAGTGAGAGCAAATCAAAACAAGAGTGTTGATGTGATAGAGAGGGAGGGAGGGCAGGCGGTATTAAACACAAGAGAGAAAAGGAGAGAGAGAACGACCGCACATTCATAGGAAGAGATGGGAGACGACATTAAAAGAGAGGATACGGGAGGGGAGGGATGAAAAGGGAAGAAAATGTACAAAGAGTAAAAAAGAAGGTGACAGGAGAGACAATTACAAGAAAGAAAAGGAGAAGGGAGTATGACAGTGAAGAGGGGAGGAAACAGAGGAGAAGGGGGGAAATAAGAGAAAGAAAAGGAGAAATCAGGAGTTAAAGGGAATGAAGAGGAGAAAAGAAAGAAAGACAGTAGAGGAGAGGACGGAGAACTGGATAGAAGCAGAAAGGATCGAGGAGCACCAGAAGGGAGAGGAGTAAAATGTTGAGAAGAGGAGCGGAGTGCAAGAAGAAAACAAAAGAAGGGAGATAGGCAGATAGAAAAGGATAAGATGTAGGAAGAGAGGAGGAATAAAGAGAATAAATGGAAATGAGGAGAGGAGAGGAGCAGGCAGAAGAAGGAAAGGAGAAAGAAGAGAGGAAGAAAGGACAGAGGACAGAAAGAAAAGGCGGAGGGAGGAGAGGAGAGGAGAGGGCAGAGCATGCGACTACTGAGCAGGTCTGAGCTGAATAACAAACTCAGCCTGCGCTCTGTTTTTTTTTTTTGTAAATAAGCTCTTTTGAGGGGGGCTAATGTCAATACTCTCACCGGGTTCCTCTCTATCGCACCCACTATTGTGATTACTGAGCAGTTCCCGGTGCGCGTGGCCTTTGACTTGTGTACACTTCAAACTATGCTGCAGAGAGGAGGCTGGGAGAGAGGAGACAGCGTGTCCTGCATGTGGTGTTTTGTGTATGCATGTGCACGAGCAGGCAAATGTGTGTGTGCCTGTTCCCAGCCACTGACGCAGGCCTTAGTCACCCACTCACCCCTCAACAAAAATATGATTTAGCTCTGCACCAACCCCACACAAACACACACACACACACACACACACACACACACACACACACACACACACACGAGCGAGAATACACTGATATTGATGCCAAACAGCGAGAGAATAAATATATGTCCACGCTGAGGCAGGTAGTCTGATATACAACCACATCGTAACATAAACTTACACACAGCTGAGATTTGTTCACAAATCCAACAACCCGGTCTGAAACACACATACATTCACAATCTTCCAACTTTAAACGTTGTGTTTTCGGTTTCGTCTGTACTGTATGGATTGTCTGTAATACCTGAAAACCCCCCCTCACTGACTGAACAACCTAAATCCTTTTCTGAGAGGATTTGTTACCAGGATGATGTCAGATTTGCAATGGTTATTCCTAACTTTCTGCAATGTTCACAGTCAATCACAATGAAAACAAAAAGACTGTGTTTAACTTCGATATCTACATTTTCCTACAGCTCGTGGTTTGTGAAATGGAAATGTTTTTGGTTTTTTTTCGTTTCTGGGGGGATTGCAGCTGAAGATGAAAACCCAGAGCATCAACAGTAGGATAGCAAACAGCAGGTGCAATGTTATTCAGTGGTAAGTCAAGACCAGAGAGTTTGAATGGCTTTAAGTAGTTTTGAGCTTGCACTTGGAAATGTTTGGTTCTTGAACTTCCCTAGGGAACAATAAAGTATCCATCTATCTATCTATCTATCTATGTTTTGCCAAGTTTACACACAACAAGCTCTTACTCTGGCAAAAGTCAGACATCGGAAATGATTTCTTATTGCTCTGATTCTTATTAAAAGTGGAACAGAAAAACAATAAAGGCAGAACTGCAAACTAAATTGCAAGGACTTCTTCAGGAAACAAATGAATGTGAAAAAAACATCTGAGATAAAGTGGTTTCTATAATAAATGTAGTGCGGATACTTTAAAGTGAAAGCACCATTAATTGTTTTTATAATATATTCATTGTATTCACAGCTTTAAGCAAAAGGAAAACGAAATGGGCAACTTTCACCTTTATTTTCTGGCCTTTCAAAGGGTAAAACCTAAATTACCTAAATCGTTTTTTAACAGAGAAAAATCTAAACTTTGAATTATTTTTCAGTTGCTGCCTCAAAATAACACACTGAAGCAATTTCAACAAATGCAGCCGTCTCTATCTGCCACACCTGACCTCGCATGACTTTGTAAGTTTTTTAAAACTTCTGGAAAAAGGTATCCAGTTGAAATCAGTTTTGCCTAACTATGAACATCCTTCACAGCATATAGTGGAATCAGGGGTTTGAGGCAGATATTACAGTACAACTAACGCTGTTGTGCTACACAAATATATAGCCCAGTCTTTTCCTGTCTTCCTTCCATCTCATCTACCTTTCTGACATCTAGAAGAATTCAATAAACAAACATTAGCCAGGAAAGTGTGGACTATCTGTGGTTGATTATCATATCAATAACCCATGAATATAACTCTGAGGAGAGGTAAGGACACAGCCATTAAAGAAGGCGGCTGTTCGTTATAAAATTCTGAGCCAATCATATGCTCAGGGTTTCAAAGATCTTCTTTCCCCAATTTGTCGATGATATAACAGGCCGTGACCTCATAGAGAGAAGCTGGTCTTGTAACGAGAGTTTAATTTCTTACTCAAGTTGTCTGAACACCAGAAAGGAGGATAGAGCGTCAATCATGCTGAGCTGAAGTTACAGTCGTATCAGAGCTGATCTGACTTCCATCCTGCTGCCAAATCTCTAACCTGGCAGGGTAACACGCTCCCAGGAGTCTGTCCAATAAACAAGCCCCAAGAGGCCATGTGATTTTTGTTTACATAACTTGGCTTGCTTGTATCTGTGCAGATGGGAGGAAGATGCTACACGTTCAGCTTGCCCGCTCTAGCTGACACCAGACAAACACATTTTAAACCAATAATGATGTTTGGACAAAAATCATGTTTTTATGTGAAAAATTGTCACTGAGTCGTTTAATCTCTCGAAAAAGCTCAGGAACAGTGGTTCTGAGGCATTTAAAAAAGACAGCTGTGTGGATGCAGGTGATAGGCTATGCTCAAATTGCAATGCAGCCAGCCGCCGCTACCTGGGGCTAACTAGCTGTGCCTCCAGTTAATGGGCCTCTCTTCGCTCTACTACAAGGATGTAAACAAGCACAGTGGACAAATAGCATGTCGTAGCAGCAGCAGCAGCGTGGTTTGACAGTATTTTTGATCCAGAAAATGGAGATAAAGATGTATGTAGGCTGTGTCAGGTCTAACAGGTATATCGACCAGAGTAACATGATTTAGCTCATGCATGTGGAAGTTAACCTGCAGGGTTGTCCAGGGCTGGTGGTGCTAGCAATGCTAATGTTAGCCCCAAACTTTATTGTTTCCCTGTAAACAATTTTAATTAAATTGTGCTAATTTGTTTTCTGGGTGTTTTCTTACCTTCAGACTTGTCAGACAGTCTGAATTCAAATTTATGTTTAACTGAATAGGACATTTGTCACAAGGAACATCCCTACTGAATATGTACACTTACACTTGATGTCTAGCTGAGGACTTACTTTCAGCACTCAAAGCTAATGACTATGTTGAGTTGTGATGGCATTATATACTGTATATATAAGTTTAATGAGTGAACCAGTTTAAGCAGATATACTAAAATGGAAACAACATTTTTGCAACTGCGACAAAAGTTGTCCGACATCAATTTTTCTTCTGATCATTTGAGTTCGCTATGAAATTAACCTTCAGACAAACCAAACTGAGATACACAATCCTCTCAGGGTGATATTTATTATCTGCTGTCATGTGCTTATGCACAAAGATGTCCCGTTGGTGTTACAGTCAAGGACGCTTACATCAAGGGCATGAGAATAATGATCTTTGTGCCAGAGGGAAGTGAAATGTGTAACTCGAAAGAGAGGGAGAAGGGAAGGTGCCAGCTTTTCAAATTATCTCCCAAATTGGTAATGTGACCTGAAAATATTTGCCTTTTGAACTGCTTAGCAAATACCGTGTTTATAATCCTCTTAAAAATGTGTCAGACTGTATTTTCAGTAGCACTCACTCATGCTTACACAACTGAGCTAATCAGAGCAGAGTGTGACAACAGGTTGAGTGTTCTGTGTCCTTCAATTACGCGAGTCCCAAATGTCACAATAACATTGTTTTGGAGCGTGCCTAAACTAACAGTGGCCTCATAGCAGTTAGTGGAGTCTGGATATCATTCTGAGGATGAGATGCTCCTTTCAGAGCCTGGAGATTATAACTCTGAAGATGATGATACTCAACTTAATTTCAGGTTTTGTATCTCAACAATTTCTTTTGTGTCAGAGAATCTTTCTGAACGGCTGAAACCTTTCAAATTGAATAAAAACAAACTAAAAGCTTGTCATACATTGCTTGTAGCAAGCTAACGAATGACACTTATAGAGGAGGAATTGTGTGTTTGTCACATTTTATTGTAACAATAATCCCTGAATCTTGCTACAAGGCTGTCTGTCTTTTTAATAGAAAGAAGAATGAAGAAAAGTTCACAGCGGATCTTCAAGCCCGCTGTCAGAAAATCAGCGAGCAGAAACATTACAATTGTGGCATTGTCAATACCACAGAATTTGAAAAGTATGTCAATTCTCAATCAAAACAAAAACAAAAAGATGACGTTGAGGCTGGTGGGGAATCATGGGAGTTCTCTCTGCTCCTTCTAATACAATTCTAAGTGTGACAGAATTGTTTTTACAAACATAACAGAGCCAAAACAGCCAAAACAAGCCAACCTTTTCTTTTTCACAGCAGTGTCAGGTTGTTAAATCGGCCATCTAATATTTATTTGTACACCTAGAAATGTTCTGAAGTCACAAATAGCGTCATCAAATGTACTGAATTATGTATTTCCCTCGCATTCTGATACATCTAAGATAAGATGCTGTTGGGTTCTTTATGAAAGTCAGTAAAGTCAAGACAGCAAAAGCAAGTGCAGCTAAATGGAGTTAAAGAAGAACAACAAGATTCAATTCTTTAACTGACTTTCAGTGCCTGACAACATGATGACATTTGTGTACGGGGATCATCAGAGCTCTACAAAGCACTATACTTTTATTCAGGGACCAGACAATGTGCAGCAGCAGCAGCAGCAGCAAGGGCTGTGTTAACTATTCCTCATATTGTGGCTTCCAGCACTTCAGGCAAATGCTGGCAGAAAGGTGAAGCCGTCCAGGATTGCATCAGTTCCTTACTGTTACTCACACACCGAGTGGTGCTTTTCCATTAAGATCATAAAGATTATCCTACAACTTACTGCTCAGATTGTATTCTATGCGGTGGCCTATCTTGTCAACTTCAGATATTTTTCAGGGATCAGCAAAACAGCCTCTCTCTTTTTCAATTTGCCTTTAAATATCCACGGCTCCTGCTTATCTGAACTGAGCTTATGGTGTCGTTTCACTTTTGAAATAAAAGAGCTCATAAGACAAAGAAGTCAATGCTGATTTGTCCCCTGTGTGAACTCAACAATAAACAGGAACAAGGCTCTTGCAATTAACAGCTTATTTGCTGCTTCACGCCTGATGGAAAATAATAGCTTACAGTCAGTGGTTGATGTTTATAGCTTCTACAAATAACTGTGATTGTACGCCTCCAGGTTGGGACTTTGTAGGGGGCAGGAGAGGAGTTATCATATTCTCATCCACACCAGACAGACAATGTCATATTCAAGTATTTGCATCGTAAATATTGTTCACGCTCATGTTTACTTTGCCCTTAATATTTGCATGTGTTTTTTGTTCTTACCGATGCAGACGTCTATCTTGCCCTTAATGGCGGCTTCGTGGAGCGGGGTGTAGTTCCAGTTGTCTCTGGCATTGGGGTCAGCTCCCTGACACAGTAACGAGGACACCACCTGAAAACAACGCACAGAACATCTGTATTTACTCATAGTTAGCAAAAAAAATCATGTGATTAAAGGTGCTTTTTTTCCCTCCATGCTCAACCCAATAAACACTGATCCTGCGAACAAAACTTTGTGAAGCTTTTTGGATTAGCCAGCACAAGAACACCTTAATGAAATACTACTAACATTTGCAACCTAGTTGGGCCAGGTAACCTATAAAATACTGATCAAAAGGTGAAAAGGTGAGTGTTTTACCCACCATATCTACAGTACAAAATGTGAGTGTATTGTATATCTCCCCTGGTATGACACCCACTAGTTTTACCAAAGGTGTTCAAATCACATGAGATACAAAATCATAATAGCAAACTAAACGACTACTCTCAACAGTGTAATGAGTTTTAACTGTGTGATTTGGGGGTTTTTTTTGGACAGTGTTTTTTCTCACACTAAGTCATGTGATTGTAACATTCCATCAGCACAGCACTTTTCTGACATGGTTGCAAAGTTGTTCCCTGCATTCCCTCTAAAAGACTCTCAAACATTTAAATCTGTAAACATTAGATTCATCACTGAGGTTAATGGCCAGGAGTACTAAATGCATTAGCACATCTGTGGCAAATATTCCAAAACATCACGATGCACGGGCCTGACCAGAATATCAAAGCAGAAATTAAGGTGAATGTTTACGTTTTCTTAATGTAATATAAGGTTTACCATTAACTGACAAAATCATCCCTTTCTCTCATAATAACAGGTAGTTAGTGGTAAAGTGGCACTTTACTCCTAAAACCATTTCAGATTTTACCACCACACTGATTTACGTGCCAAAAACTGCTTTTCTTACGTTTTTATCACCAGCAATCATTTACCTTCTAGTATAAACTGTTCAGGGCATTACATCAGGCAGGATATTGGAGGAGCGCTAAACCTTTTCACTTTTGTGATGCACTTATGTGTACTCATATTCTCTTTCACTGCACTTGCAGAACACATATGCATAGTTAATGTGTACAAACGGTTCCAAATGCAAGTAAGGTACAAAGATGCTTTAGACGAGTATCAGAGCTCTTCACTGTGGTTTACGTAGCATTAGTACACAATGAAAAACCCCAACATAATACAAAATGAAGTCCTTGAATCATCACCTGATTAAAGGACACATATTATTCTCCTTTTCAAAATAAGTCTCAGAGCTCCACAAAACATGTCTGTGAAGTTCCTTGTTATAAATCCACTCTGATCCTGTATCATGTCTATAAACCCCTCTATTTCAGTCCAGCTCAGAACAGGCTGTTTCTGTGTCTGTAGCTTTAAATGCAAAAGAGCTGTGTCTGACCACGCCCCCCTCTGGAAAGGCTTGGGTGTTTTGGGCTTTCTCGCTCCATGCTCCTATTGTTTACATTGAGAAGGCAGACTCAGAGGGCAGAACAAACACCTAGCTGTGGGAGTGTCACCCACCTGGGGGACGGGTTACTGCCCTTTGTGATGTCATGTTGGGAAAATCTCCAAACGGACTGTTTGAGCACACATTTTCTGAACAGTGGAGCAGGCAAAAGACGGAGAGGATGAATGTGTACTGGGCATTTTACTGTAGCAGTTCTGTAAGGTAATGCTCATGTCATTTGCATAACTGTAAATATAAACAGCTCTACAATCAGGTAGTTTAATAAACAGTTATGCATCACATTCCAAGACCTCATATATTTGCAGCATGGTTGCCTGTCCATAGATAGAGCCATGGATTTCTGTGATGTCTACTGGGCTCAGAAAAACAGCTGTTTCCAGCTTTGTGAGAATGTTATGTTATTTCAACAGCATAGTTAATTTAGCTGAGTGGGATGGGATCATTTATCAACCCATAAAGGAATATATGACAATTGATTTCACTGGAAAGGGAGCCTATGAACGGGTTATCATATTAAGTAAATATAAGCTCAGACAAATGGAGTAAAGATTACATTATCTGCCCCTGAGACATAGAAGATTAAATACCCGAGTACAGTATATAACAAAGTTTTTAGTAGTAGTCTTTGTCAATTTCCAAAGGTTCCCTCCCTGTGGCTATTGTACACAGATGGAAACAACTGAAAAATAAACAACTCCCAACAGAGACATTACAGAATGCACGGTTTATACCAGCTCATCATGGTATTGCTGTGTGAACTCTCACCTCGGAGTGACCAAATGAGCAGGCGTTATGAAGCGCGATTAGACCTCCATCATCCCGAGCGTGCACATTAGCACCCATCTGGAGCAGGTGGTCAACCACATCTTTACGCCCAAACCCTGGATCAAATCAGAGAGAGAATTGAGGGAGGAGGGGGTGATGGAACCCAAGAAAACAGATCGGTGTCCTAAATGAAGTACAAGTTTCCAGCAGAAAGTTTTGCATAAAATGCTCAGTGATGGATTAAAACAATCTGCTGCATTAAAAGAAGAGTCTAGAAAAGTGTACAGAGGTATAACACAGAACAAACACTTAAACTTTTTTTTTTTTCTGATTTCTATAACTGTTTAATATCATTTGAACATATCCTGAGCATTTTACAAATGTCTTGAAGGGTTAACTTATTTAAAGGAAAATACTATATATAGATTACTGCCAATACAAGACCACTCTGATCTGCTTTGAATCTATCTCCTACCCAAAAAGGCCAGCCAGCCAGCCCTTCCTTGATTTAAGGATTTACGCTTCCATTTTTTTTTTTTTTTTTTAAAGACAAATCCTTTGAACAAAATGCAAGTTACCTTCTGATCCACTTTGACTTGATGGAAATTATATAATAGGACTAAAGAATGTTTAAAAGCACCAGAAACATAATTGTGGAATTGTTTTGTCCATACACACATTGTGAAGTTTGATTGCCTTTGACTTTTATAACCTCTCTTTAGTATTCTGGTGTTGAAGCTTAGCATATTGGATGGCAACAACAACAAGGTATGGTTCCTACTCTGCAACTACAAGTTCAAGAACAACAAGAGCTTATCAAACAGAAATGTAAAATATCCTCATGTCACATGTTGTTATCAATAACACAACTTCCTTACGGTGTTTACTTTAGAGCATCCAGGGCTGCATGCACTCTTGGGCGGGTTTGAAAAGTAGCCTTCAGCCAATGTTGACTGTTCTTGTGGTTAAACGTTCAGTGACTATGCATAGAGCAGATCTTACCAGCTACGTTTTGGCAACTCTCACTGCTAATTGCAGCTACTGCAGCTGGACAAACAGTACAAAACTAAGAGTATTAAAAAGCGAGTTTGTTTTTATTACCTGCAGCGAAATGCAGAGGTGTTGATTTGCGTCCTGCCATGTCTTTAGCGTTCACATTTACTACATCCACTACTTTCTTCACCCTCGAAACATCTCCATTTCGACAGGCTTCGAACAGCTCCCTAAAAGCCCCGCTTGCACCACCACCGCTGCCACTGCTACTGCTGCTGTCCGGGTTACCGCTGCCCGAGTCGGGCGTTGAGCCAGGGCTGGTCCCGCTACCCTCGGTGGTGGTCGGGGAGCTAGCGCTGCTGCTAGTACTACTACTGCTGCTGCTGCTGCTGCTGCTGCTGGCGGCGAGGGCCAGAGCTGGGGAGGTGCTGGTGGGAGAGGCAGGGGTTACCTCCCCGTCAGCCGTGTTCTCTAGCGGGGAAAGCGGGGTGGCATCATCAGTGGGTGCCGGCGGAGAGCCAGGCGGGTTAAAGGGGAAAGGAGAGCTGCGGGGTGGGGAGACCAGCAGGGAGTTTGGCTGCTGTTGCTGAGAGGAGCGACGAGGCGTCGCCATTTTCACAACACAACAGTCCCCACTAGCAACAAAAACACTGCTGACAATTTCCTGCCAAGGATAGTCTAACTTCCGCTCGGACATACTGATAAATATCTATTAGAAACAGGTTATTTATTAAAATATCTGACTCATGTACGTCAACTAAATTAGTTGAAGTTTCGAAATTAACATAGGCCTATTATAATTCTGTGGTTTCTTGTCGGTTTAGTTTTGGTATATTTATTGCATATATTTATTTATTTATTTATTGTCTCGGCCAAGTTGCGCCATGTGGCTTTCTTTTATTTTATTATTATTTTTTATTTTTTGTTGATGATGTTAAATTTTTGTGACAAAAAGGGGCTACTTAATAGCCTACTTGTGTTAAGAATACATAATTGGCCCAAAGTCAGTGTTTATAATGTATTATAACTGTAATATTAAATAAAAACACAGGAAATGTCCATTATAATTTATTTGTAGGAGTAAAAATATGTTATTTGTCATATCAGAATAATTTAAACCAATTTGATTGAGTGTGTAGTACAGTGACGACAGCCGAACATTATACCACCACCTAGTGGAGACTTTTAAAGGTGTCTTCAAAAATCAGGACCTTCACCAATCAACATAATCAATTAAAATTGCATTATTTTTTATTTTAAAAATAACACCTAAAGTTGTTTTTCAGCTTTTGTGACTTTAGACCATTAGAATTAATTAGGCAACAGAGTTAATACAACATTCGCTTGTTAATACAATATGTGCCGCTTAACTATAAGGCCAAAGGTGTAATCACAAAACATTTTTCCTAGTTATCTTGTTATCTTGTTTCAACAAAACAAGTTAGTACTTACAAGATATCAAACATAGGCCTAGTTGGGATTTAAGTCTCTGATGTCATTACCACAAATACAATTATTTATTATTCTTATTATTTATTTACAATTATATATTTTCTTCATGCTGTACATGTTTTTCTCTTACAGAATAATATGGTAGTTGTTACATGAAGTGGCCACCAGGTAGTAGCAGACTACTGTGCAACTCGGAGGGACTTTGTGCTTCCAAAATAACTCGGTCTTTCTCTTTTTGCCATCTTAATATTCTGTTAGATGTGAATTTATTAATTCAACACTAGATGGCGACTGATAGGCCTCTGGGTCATGTACATCATGATTATCCTCATGAATGAGACAAAAGCAAGTCCAATACAATACAATAGCTCTCTGGTTAATGTTTCGAACATCATTGAGTGCCTTTAAAAAAAAAAAAAGACTGTTATCTCCTCCTTTTGTATTAATGATTTGAAATGTTATTATTACCGTAATTCAGCCTCTACTCTTTTTAGTGACAAACATTTTTAATCAACTGACTTTGCTGTGCATTTGCATATATGTGTGTTGAATCAATTCACACAGTCACATGATACTGTATACACAATTTGTAGTTGTTACTGATGATCGGAGCTGAAGGACAAGAGCTGAGAGGAATCTATTATACTGCTCTATGCCATGTAACAGCCAGGTTGCATGGATCCACAAATCACATCCAACAAATCAAAGCACCTTATAATAACATTAGGCAATAAATGATACTTGTGCAAAAATAGAAACATGGATTGTGGCCATTATACATTTGAGATTTCTAAGAAAAATTAGTTGAGGACTTGAATGATTTTAACAAGCTCAGAAAGCAGCTGCTGCCTTGCCCTCCAACCTCGTAAAATGCCTGTGTTTCTTTTCTCTTTAAGCAGGTTAATATAGTAAAGCACGTTACAGATAAATGTGCTATTAGTCTACAGCTTTTCAAACTATATGATAAAAGTAAAATACATTTACAAGCAAACATATTGCCTGAGATAACTGTTTCCCAGATAATTAAATGGAAGATTAAAAAAAACTGAACGTTGTCTAAGAATTTGTAAAATAGTTTATACTGGAGCTTTAACAACTTTTGAAATCATGGTTGTCAACTGACAGCTGGATTTTAAAAACCATTGTCTTCACTGGAAAACAAGAAAGTTGAATTTAATAGGCAATGAAAGGTCAACATTGAGCCCATAAGCCACCGCAACACATTATGTCTTTGAGGCTTTAAAGCACTGATAGTCAGATTTTGCACCTTGAGTCCCACCTTTGGTATGAAGAAGTAACGCTTGGGGAAGTGTTACTCTCAGCACCAGTTTGGAAATGTTCTGCTCTTCACAGCAGATAAGGGCTATATCTCGTAGTTTTTTTTTTTTTATGTTCAACCCTTCAACACATAAATACTTGACATGACAGCTGATCACACGACAAATACAACTAGAACGATGACTCAGCGTGTGGAAGTGATGCAGTCAGGGGATCAGTATGCAAAGCTTTGCCTGGGTGGTTGGTTGACATACCTCTCGTTGTTTTTAACTGCTCTCTGCTTTTGAAATGTCAGCTCTGGCTTAAAAAAACAAATCTTTGAATGAAAACAAAATGATCCCAACTGCTTCAAGGAACATGTCAAGTAGTTTGTATTTGTAAATCAATGATTTCAAATAAAACACCTTCCACATTGAAATTGGGGAATAAAGCAAAAGATAGGCCTATTGCATGAAATCGTGTTTATGTTTTAAGTCTTTCAAAATAAGGTTTTTCGGGTTGTCTATTTTAGTGACTTCAGGCATATCAGTTAACAACAAATCTTGTCACATCTGAATATATTTTAAGGGATTTCTATGTATCAACCTATTTCTGGATGTAAAAATCAGCTGCTCACAGGTTGTTAAGTTCTTTTGAAACTAGAACTTTCATCTTAGTCTAATAAACTTGAGGGCTGTGGGAAGGCGGCGTGAGGGCTTACTCTCACCCTTCTTGCAGGCTCTGTGTTTATTAACACATCTATGAACTTCACCATGTTGACAGAATATTAGCATTTTTTGAATAATGCATTTTAATGGCTGGTTAGATTGGAGAAAACGTCTCAGAGAGCAAAGGGGAAAGTCAGAAGGAGGAAAAAAAAAAGGCAAGATAAATGACATAAAAAGAAACACAAACACACAATAAAGGACAGAGAATGAAAAGGCAAACAGGTGCTGTAGACCCACATTCTTCACCAAAAACAGTTCTCACACCCATGACGGCATTTTCTATCCAAAGCAATCCACAAAATCACAGATTCTGATTCTGTTAAATCTGAATCTGAAGCATGCTAAGTGTTTTCCGTTCAGTTTTCTATTTTAGAATGAGACTGGTCAATTCAAATTTATGTAAGACAATGAAGAGTTAAAAAAAATGACACCTTGATGCTAAAGTGAGTTACTTATTTCATCTGTAATTTTTAAGAAAGATTAAATTGATACAAAGTGCTGATCATTTGAAATGGGTAACCATCCTTCTTCCAGCAATGTTTTCCCAATAGAAATGATTTCTGAAATCGTTGAAGGTCTCAGAGAGCTAAAATAGATAACCTTTTTTTGTGGTTAATCTATCTTCTTAAAAATCTAAAAATGAGGGTATTGTTGTAGCAGATACTACACTTCACATTGACTTTACTTTACTTTACTTTACTTTAGCCTGAGTTGCATATATCATATATCAAACTGTACTGTGGGCTCATGTTTTTTTTTTGTATGGGTGGGATATGTATGTATATATGTGTTGTGTTGTGTGTTTGTATGTATGCTGGCTGCTGGAACACCTAAATTTCCCTGCTGGGATGAATAAAGTATATCTTATCTTTATTTGATCTTTTATTGCATCAGAGGGTCATGATCATGAGTCTTCTAAGTCATGTTAGAGGACTACAAAGGACCTACTTGATCAGTTCATGGCGAAACAAACTTGCATTTGAAACCTGAGCAGACCGATGCTTGTGTGATCTTTCACTGACAACACTTAAGAGCTCTTTGTGGTTCCTTTACATGATAAGAGCTTCGTCGAAACTCCCATCCATGACAGGTGAAGATGCATGTGAAGGTGCACGGGGCGCCACACCTATCCTATTTGGGAGTCAGACAGGTAAGGCCCCGCCCACTGCCAGGTTTCAGTCAGACTTGTTTTTAAGGGCAGCTGTTGGATCAAAACTCTTAACGCTCCTGTCTTATTTAGGCGACTACGCGGATTCCTGAAGACCTAACACACAGCTACAACATCAACACCAGCGAGCATGCCGGGGCGATCGTCGGCTGAGTGGATGCGGGTGTCCCTCCGCACGCCGGGCATCTTCATCTTCGGATTGGTCATGGCTCCATGCGGATTGGTCCTGGACCTAACCGCGACTGTGGCCCCAAACTGGAGGACCCTCCACAACCTCCCCAACACGGCTTCTGACGTTTTCATCCAACAGGGCATTTGGGACATCTGCAGGGGCACCTCAACCAGCACGAGAGACCAGTGCAACCTGCAGGACACGTCTTATTTTGGAAACCAGATCATCGAGGTCGCGCAAGGTCTCATGGTCGCCTCTCTCATCGTGACTCTGATCGGACTGGCCGTGGCCATCCCAGGGGTCCGCTGCTGGAGAGACCGGCCCAACTGGGTCGTGGCCGGGATGGGTGGGCTGTTGATCTTCCTCTCGGGCGTCATGACCATCATCCCCATCGCCTGGTATACCCACATCCTCCAAAACGTCACAACGGTGTCACCCACAGTCGACGTGCGCGTCGGCTACTGCATCATCTTGGGCTACATCGGCGGGATATTCGAAATCCTCGGTGGGTTCGTCATGTTCATCGGAATCTGCCGATGCTGCGGAGGCAAGAACCGAGGGGAGACGCGAGTTGACGAGGTCCAGGCCAGCAGGTCCAGACAGCAGCCGCTACCGAGACGTGTTGAAGTACCAAGCCTGACCCGGGGCAGAACCAACCCCAGCAGCGTGGCTTACAGCAATGACTCACTGGATGAAGATGTGTCCTTCCCCCGGGCCAAGAGCCCCGCAGTGAGGCCAGTTAACCCGTCCTACAACGGCAGACCCTATGATGCTGACCTCTGAGTGACATGTGACCCACATCTGGAGACACTGGAGATGGACATGTTTGCGGAAAGGACAGTGAGAGGAGAATATTCTAGAAAGAAGTAATGGTAATAAACGACTGTACAACGTAATTGATCTAGTCTACTGTCAATCTGCTTATTTGTTGTAAAGGCCTATTAGCCTAACTATATGATGTATTTATAGGCACAATAAGGCAAGCCTACTTCAAGACACCTACTAATTATGAGCCAAATTGATGTGGAATGATTTACTATAGATGCCATCAATACAAGTCCACCAGGAATATTCAGTGTGGTACTTTATATATGATAAAATGACTGTGGAATCTCTATAAAGAGAAGCAGAGTCACTTCAAAATCAGTTCACTTTGAGCGTTACAGTGTTTCGCAATGAGTGCAGTGATATTTGTAGGCATACAATAGTGCTAAGTGATGTGTGAGTGACAGAGCCCTGGCTGCAGATGAGACTCATTATGGATTATGGTTATGAATAATGTTCACATCATTCTAATCTATGACCTCCAGCAGGGCCGTAAGTGCCAGATTGATTAAATGTATAACATAATGTAGGAAACTGAAGGTTTTGTATTGAAGGATCGGTGAATCAATTTAAAGAAAACTGATGTTGAGTCAAAGTTTACTGTGGCTGTGTAATATTCTGCAGTGTTAGAACACTTGCCTTCTATGGTAAAGGTAGTTTTTGGTTTTGTTTTGTTTTTTGCATTGTTTTGTGTACATTGACTTTGCTTACATCTTTTATCTCAGTCTTTGTAAATACTCTATTCTTATGCACTTTATAATTTTGGCCAACCTTATAGGACAACAGACCTGTTCCTGAAAAAAAAAAACACCCTGAGTTGAACACGTTTTTTTTTCCGATTGCTCTGTGATTCCTGTCTATTAAATGTGCACAGTGTTTCCTAATAACAGCGACTGAGTCCCTTTACTCAATTGAACCCCTTTTGTTTGTTTACATTTTGGAAAAGCGAAGTTGTGTATTCCATCATTGTGAGCATTTTATATGTTGGTTTTCTGCTGTGACAGACATGGAGAGGGACGACACACAAGTCCTTAGTCACACTAACATACCTACAAACAGGTTACATTTTACATTCATACATTTCTTTCTTTGTGCTCCTGTCTGTTCAATCTAAGCTTCATAAGTAAACAGACAATGCAGCCTGACCGGTCTGGGGAGGTTGGTCTCTTTACAAATCTTGCCTGACAACATAACCTCTTCTGTTAAAACTGGCTAGACATCTCAAACAAGGCCCTCACTGTAGTGAACAGTTGTGGCTCTGTAGCTCCTTGCAAGTCTTTTGTTGATGAATCTGCCCTCCAGAGATCATGATGCAGTTCTCTGTGCAGGAGTGAAGCCTTGGATGCAAAAGTCAAAGCAACTTGATTTAGAAGTAGAACACAAAACTTACTTAAAAAAAGATTTTATGCTGCATCATGTTCTGACATTGGGACAAAAACAAAACATATAGAGGAACCTAAACACCTTCCAATACTCACCACGTTCTTGTGGTTGCAATCCCAGAAATTACACTTTTAACCATCTGACTTAGGAACTTCTACTACCTATACTATGATCGGACAAATGTAGAACTTGATTGATTTATTTAAGCACTTTCACAACCAGTTGGAACAGCAGTAGTTATTGAAACATGTAAAAACAAAATAACATTATACATTGTGTGCATTTTAAATGATCAATTTCTGTTTAGTGTTCAGTTATAAGTTAACCCATTTCACATACAGTGTTCAGATCAGACTTCATCATGATCTTATAACGATGAAATGTAGTATTTAACTGTGAAAGAACATTGCCCCATACTATCCAATATACACATGGATGTGAATATGTTTATAGTTGTAGATGCCAATAGACTGTAGCTTCTGATGTGTTGGAGTTTGCTGTCAAACAGAAGAATGTTTGAGAGGGCCCAGGCTGCGCACTGGAAATGGGAATAACGCAATTTAAATACAATCTTTTCTCATATTGAAACACGTACGTGATATTTTATGCTTTAGCCTTTACCCTACTGTCCATCAATTTGCCACATGAATGTGGTGACTCATGAAATGCCAGTCCAAGATAGGGGTGTGGATAGGTGAGTTTTTTAGGGTGTGACAAAATATGTCAGTTTTTATTTATAGTGCATTCTCACGAGCTGCTGAGAATCTTTCTTGTGACTCTCCATATACAAAAAGATTCAACTTAAATGATTTCACTACAAATGTTATATTTAATCAACACTTTTCTTACATCCAAAATTCACTTTCAAAGCCTATAATGACTGTTCCATATCTGTATAGTGCTTTGGACCATGAACAATATGAATACACTCTCACTGAGACTGAATCCAGGCCAAACACCAGCGAGTGGTTTTGAACTATCAATGGAATCAAAGCACAAGCAGAACATCTTATTTCTTTGGGCAGCTGGGGCTCAGTTGGTAAAAGTCAGACATCTCTCAACTTGAAGGTCGGGGTTCATCCAGCGACATATCCGATGTGTGCAAGACATTTAACCCCAAGTTGCTCCCGCTGCGCGTATGAATGTGTATGAATGTGATTACTTCTGATCGTCACGTTACAAAGCAGCCACTGCCATCAGTGTGTGAATGGGTAGGTTTAGCCTTCAGTGCTAAAGCATTTGGAGTAGTCAGAAGACTAGAAAAGCGCTTTACAATCTCAAGTGCATTTACCATTTATCCTGTCCTGTAGTGAACATGCATTAATTGTATTTGAAACTTTTTGTTGCTTTCTTTCTGTCGGCTTACATCCGACGGAGTGACTGTGAAACGTGTGCAGAGAGAATGTAAATACAAGTAATATACAGTATATGAAGTGTTTTATTGGATTATTGGAATCGGACCTGGCTTCAGGTTTTTCAGGCATCAGAAATAAAATCCTGTAGCTGATAGTTTGTTTCGCTTTTGTAGGTCATATAGGCATCATTTTAAATCTGAGACGGTTCTACATAAGCAGTTAAAAATCATCAAAGCAGATATAAAGGGGTTTAATTTGGAAAAGTACGTCCATCAATGTGTGATACGTTCAAGAGATTGATTAAAGATTGTGCAAGTTGATGCATCAGGCTGAAATAATTAACCTTTAAATTTACCGTAATGCAACCAATATTTACATTCCCTGTGTCAGTTTGTAAATCTGTCTGTCTTTTTATTATTCATCCTAAAATAATGTATAGATTAGTGGTTTGGCTTTATAAGCATCAAACATAGAACCAACTTTTACATTCTGGCAGTTTAATTCAATATGCTCTTCCCTCTTTAAAACAAACATGCAAATCTGCTCATTATGAGGAAAGTAGGTGCTGACAAAGTGACACCCTCATGCAAGATGCTTCCTTATAGATACACGTAGACATTTCCTCAAATAACAAAGACTTTTCATTCAACACCTGCATTTTCCAGATAAGTCTCATTCCTGTTGAGTGAAGTTAATACTTAAGCAAAATCTGTTGCGTCCACAGACCCCACAAAGCAGTTAAACAGGCAGCAGTGTATAGTGGTGAATGCAGAACACAGTGAGGCTGTCAGTCTATTTTCAGTGTTAAAACACAATGACACAAACAAGACGTTTGCAAGAACCTATTCAATTAATAATTTTCTAATATGCATTATTGCTATTATCAAGCTGTTGATATTTAAAAAGAAAAGATTTACAGATAGGGTGTTAGTGACAAGATAACAGCTAGCATAGCTTGACACAGTAGCTAAAAACTGAATTAGATGTCCCATAGTTTTCTTATGTTGTCTTTCATTGAGAAAATCCCCCACAGCTAATAAAAAAAATCGTAAAGATGAGTTTCATGTTTACACTAAAGCAATATGCTGCAAAATCTTAACCAAGAGAACCAACATCTCTGACATATATACAGTGCTTATACATTTAAAAAAGACTATTTATTTTAAAGATTTCTAATAGTCGAATATCAAAAATATTAAAGTCAGAAACAACACTCATCAGCATGCAAGTGTTTCCCTCCCCCCCTCGCCCCATAAAAACTTTAAACATTGCATATTCTGCATTGCAGTAGCACATTTTTCTCTCAAGAAGTTTAACTACTCATCGGATCTACTTGGCCTCGTCTTCTTAGCCAAATAAATTTAATTTGAATTGTGATGGAGAGATTTCTGAGAGATGTGCAGTTAAGTCATTGTAGCCATATATTACGAAAGAGAACTAAATACAGTTTGTTTGGTAACTTTTTGGTTACCTTATTTCAACTGTCACTTGATCTCATAACTGGTCACTTTAACTTCAACTTGCCACTAAATACGTCTCAATGCCCTGTATAGTTTTTAGTGTATTTTTAGTATAAGATCTTAATTGGCGTATAGTTTACCAAATACTTGCTAATAATAGTTGTAAATACATTGTACTTTTATCTTTATCTTAATATTAATATTAATATTAATATTATTAATTTAATTTGTACTCGTATGCACGCTCGTCTTGTCTTTAACTGTTGCAACACTTGAATTTTCCCACTGGGGATCAATGAAGGATTATTTTATAATCTTTAAACACTAACACAATGTGTCGGTGGGCAAAGATTTAATACTAAAGTGTGTGTATCCTCTTGCACATAATGTCAGTTATAGTCCATATAAAAAGACATCCTTGACCAGTGCAGGGGGCACAGATATCTTACAAATCAGATGTATCCCCAACTCTTGATGCTCTGACAACAGGATGCAATAAACCAGTTTGTTATGTGAACTAAGAAAATAGTAACACTGGTTCACACGGCCAGCAGTATTCATGTTAATAAAATCCACTAAAAATAAACACAGCTATCTATTTAAAGAGAATCACCAAGCCAAAAGACAATTAAAACACTCCAGCTCACATGTTAAACTGTTCAGGTGCCAAACACTTACAGAGAAGGAATTTTAAAATGAAGCAGAACTGGATCGAGGTAGGTGAGCGTGCATATTTCAGTTTCGGTATGACACAGTGAAATCTCTAAATGGGGGGTGGGCAGGGGTTGTGGTAGTAGTAAATGTAGAGTTGAAAATCAGTAACTAAGACAAGATCTAGTCGCGGGGCTAAAATGTATTACAGGTAATCTTCTCTAATAATAGAAAAGTTAATTCCCATAACTTCTGAGGTGTTTATCTTTGTATTCGTTTGAGACCTGAAAGAAAAGATGGACAAACTTCTCAGATATTCATAATCGGTTTATCATTCGACGTACACACGCTGCCAGGAGACTGAACACACACTTTTGATTCTGCATCCTCAAACAGGTTAAAGATCAAATCCAGATAAAATGACACCATACATGCAGATGTCTTCCAGAGTCATCATCAGTAGGTCATAGATCAGTGTTTAATTGAAGGTTGCTGATACCGTATATGTCTGACTGTGAGTTTAAAGGCATCCAATAAAAACAGATTATGTTGAAGTTCATGTTATATAAACTTAAAATGCATATTTTTTTAATGGATGATGAACAAGGTAACACATATTGCTAATGTTGGACACAAAAGTTGTTAAAAAAAAGTGTAAAAAATACAAAACAGTTTTTCAGTCAGAAGAAAAAGAGACAATAGCACTAAAGAGCACTTAACAGTAGGTTGTTTACTTAGCATGTACCACAGTGCACAGAACAACAACTAGCTTGGTTTCTAAACATTAAAGCAACATAGATGGTACAAACATTGAAAAGTGATTGGACTCAAGCTACAATTTAAGCACCAGAGTGCACAGATTTTCATTTAAAAGTAAATAAACAAAGTGCAAAAATGGGATGAAGTCGGAGTAATTCTTGAGAAGCGGCATCTCTTGTGAAATTAAACTGCTATAAATTCTGTTCTTGCAACATTGCAAAACTTGTTTTCTGGCAATCTACACTGTGAGAGCTCAGTTCCTTGTTTACAGATGATCTT